GTTTTTTAGAAAGAAGGATGCCTGGAAAGAATGGGGAAGTGTCCTCTAGAAATGTATGTTGTGGGGAGGTGTCCTCTAGAACTGTATGTTGATAGCCGTTGGAGCCTGTGGGGTTGTAGTGAGCCGATGGGACTGCAGAAAAGTATTGAGGTCGAGCTGAAATAATTTTGGGTATGGGTCAAAATTAAGCAATTAGCAGGACTTTAGTCCATGTTGCCATTTGGGTTGCCCCATTTTGGCCGACACCCGCTTCACCGTTTGTGTTTCAGTGCGAAATGGCGGTTTCAGATCCTCTTCTTGCCAGCGTTGCGATGGCTTCCTATGGCTATGCTTTCCTTCTGGGTTCCCCAAGGTTTCCCCTATGGTTTCCCTTGGTTTCCGATGCTTTCCCAATGGTTTCCTATATGGTTTCCAATGCCTTCCTATGGTTTCTTATGGTTTCCCATTGTTTTTTTCCCAGATAGCTGAAAGCTATAGGGGTTCTAACTTCTAATAAAGAGGGGAAAGTGATTTGCGAGATTGAGGGCAGGGTGCTAGGGGGCATGCAGTTTGAGGTGCTGGTGGATGCTGCTTTGCGAGCTTGACGGCCGGGTGCTAGGGGGCATGCAGTTTGAGGTGCTGGTGGATGCTGCTTTGCGAGATTGAGGGCCGGGTGCTAGGGGGCATGCAGTTTGAGGTGCTGGTGGATGCTGCTTTGCGAGCTTGACGGCCGGGTGCTAGGGGCAGTTTGAGGTGCTGGTGGATGCTGCTTTGCGAGCTTGACGGCCGGGTGCTAGGGGGCATGCAGTTTGAGGTGCTGGTGGATGCTGCTTTGCGAGATTGAGGGCCGGGTGCTATGCAGTTTGAGGTGCTGGTGGATGCTGCTTTGCGAGCTTGAGGCTGGGTGCTAGGGGGCATGCAGTTTGAGGTGCTGGTGGATGCTGCTTTGCGAGCTTGACGGCCGGGTGCTGGGGGCATGCAGTTTGAGGTGCTGGTGGATGCTGCTTTGCGAGCTTGACGGCCGGGTGCTCGGGGGCATGCAGTTTTTTGAGGTGCTGGTGGATGCTGCTTTGCGAGCTTGACGGCCGGGTGCTAGGGGGCATGCAGTTTGGGTGCTGGTGGGTGCTGCTTTGCGAGCTTGACGGCCGGGTGCTAGGGGGCATGGGGGGCATGCAGTTTGGGGTGCTGGTGGATGCTGCTTTGCGAGCTTGACGGCTGGGTGCTACGGGGCATGCAGTTTGGGGTGCTGGTAGATGCTGCTTTGCGAGCTTGACGGCCGGGTGGGGGGCATGCAGCTTCGGGTGCTGGTGGATGCTGTTTTGCGAGCTTGACGGCTGGGTGCTGGGGGCATGCAGTTTGGGCTGCTGGTGGATGCTGTTTTGCGAGCTGGCCGGGTGCTAGGGGGCATGCAGTTTGGGGTGCTGGTGGATGCTGTTTTGCGAGCTTGACGGCCGGTTCTAGGGGGCATGCAGTTTGGGGTGCTGGTGGATGCTGCTTTGCGAGCTTGACGGCCGGGCTAAGGGGCATGCAGTTTGAGGCGCGGGTGGATGCCGGGTGCTAGGGGGCATGTTTGGGGTGCTGGTGGATGCTGTTCGCGTGTAACGGTTCGTGGCTGGTGTATCGTCATGATGTTCCCACGTTATGGTGTGTGGGTGTAGTGGCGCCGTGATGCTGTCAACATCAGGATGATGCAGAATTTCATCAAGCTGTCGCAAGATGGTTCGTGGCTGTGGTATCATCATGATGCTGCCTTTACCATCAGCATGATGCTGTTCGCATCACCATGATGCTGTCCGCATCACCATGATGCTGTCCGCATCATCATGATGCTGTCGAACTCATCAGGACGTTGTTTTTGCTTTTTCCTGCCGGATTGCTCTCAAAATCATCATTATGCTGCTGATCTCATTAGGACGTTGTCTGCGCGTTTGTTTCGTGGCTGTGGTGTCATCATGGTCTACATCATCATGATAATGCTGCGTCATGGTTCGTATCCGTGGTGTGCTATCTGGGGTCTATGCTGGTGTTATTTATGTTTCCCGATGTTTTCCGTGCAGTTTTCCAATGTTTCCCAATGGTTTCATACGGGATCCCCTTGTGGTTTCCCTATGCTTCTGTCTCTGGTTTCCCACGGTTTCGCATGCTTTCCAATGGTTTCCCATTGGTTTCCAAATGGTTTTCCACTGGAGTCTTCACGATCCCTATCACAAGGAAAGTGCTCTTCTACCGGAGGTGGATGAGGAAGGAGAGGCCATCCCTGGCCACGTGGAGAGTGACCAGGAGACATGGAGAAGTGGGAAGAGATGGGAGGAGGTGGCCGCCTACGGATGCTCTGGCGAACAAGGAGTTCAAGATCCTTGAGCAGGACACGGAGCTGGGGGAGTCGGTGGTTGGGTTGGTCTGCAAGCTGGACGCGGAGCGCAAAAACTAGGGAGGCCTTGGAGGGCGCCAGTCTGAAGGCGGTCAAGGAGCAGGAGGCCTGATCGGCTAGCGATGTGCGGCCTCACTACGGCACCGAGCGATTGGGCGTCCCGAACTAAGGCATCTTCGCTGGACGCAGGCGACCTTGAGGGAGGAGAGGACGCTGGCCTCGTTCTGGGCCGTGAAGGAGTGGAGATGAGAAAGGCGGTGTGCTCTTTGCGGGGCCACCTTTGGGCTACCTGGCGGTCTACGTGGATGATCTGCTGGCGGAAAGAAGTACCGCGGAGAAGCTCGCTCAGGTCATTGCCACGCGCAGGCGCTGCTTCACAGGAATGGGAGGAGAACCCTGCCCCGGCTCTGCGCACAGTGCGGGAGGCCCCACGGCTCACGGGAGAGCTGCTGTGGCTCTCTGGGAAGACTAGGCCGGATCTTGCAGCAGCGATGTCATCAAAGGCGACGAGGAACCCGGAGTCGGTGGAGCCAACGTCCTCACTTACCTGAACACGTCGTGGGAGAGTGCACCAAGGAGTGAGGATCCGACCATGTTCCGGCGGACGGTTCGGGAGGCTGGCAACTTGGAGGTGCTGGTGGATGCTTCGTTTGGCCATGCTGCTCTTCGCGGGCTGCCCGGCGCAGTGGGAGTCAAAGAAGCAGTCCTTGGTAGCTTTGTGTACGGCGGAGGCGGAGCTGACGGCGATCATGGAGGCTGGTCGCTCAGTGAGGGCGCTGGTCGAGCTCTTCGGGGTCCTCATCAGCATGCGCGCTGCGCTGGTTTTGGCCGGAGGTGCCAGGCATTTGCGCATGCGCTCCAACTGTTTGGCGGAGGCCATCAGAAAGGGCAAGTTCACGCTGAAGCACCAGGCAGGCACGAGGCTGTGGGCAGATGCGCTCAAGAAGCTCATCACCCGCAAGCAGCTGCCTGGCCTTGTCCAGGCCGAACCTTCTGAGCCAAAGCCGCCACTCCTCCAATCAACACCAATTGGCCCACGGCTTGCATCTGCTTAACCTGTGGGGAGATACCCTCACTCGCCATCAGGCCACCGGCAACTTGACCATTGCCTCCTTCTGATCCAACTCCAAAACCTTGCACCGCATCAAGGACATCATGGAGGTGCTCTGGAAGAGGTGAGGACCGTCCTGGTGGTGGTGGTGTCCTTCATCGCTGTCATGCGCTACAAGATCATTGAGTCGACCGTGCGGGGGATCATGGAGCAGAGGAGCCGGCTGCCAGTACCCAATGTCCCGGACGTGCGGGAAGTGCAGACCGAGGCTGTGTAAACGGAGGAGATGAGACAGAGGCTTCGGGAAGAAGTCACCAGGACCTTCCGGCTTGTCAGGAGGTTGCAGGAGGAAAGAGAGGAGGAGGAGCGACGTATCGCCTAGCACGGCCACTGAATCGGCGTCTTCGGCGTCTGCTGGCCTTCGGCGGGATCGGCACCCTTTGCAGCGGGGGCTGAGGCAGCTGCGAGAGGAGGTTGAACATGGCGGTGACCATCGAGCAGAGAACGCTCGGGACCGGCAGAGGGGCATGGTGGAGCTCTACCACGTCACGACCTTTGATCATTGGACCCGGGATTGTTGGAGATTGTGTGGTGCGGCTGCGCAAGGCGTCCGGGCCATGCTCCCTTGCCCGAACTGCTGGCTGGGCATGCACCGCCAGAGGGGAAGAAGCGCGGTCGCGTGGAAGGGGACGGATACGACGATCTGAGGGATGCCACTTCGCTCTTGTCGCTTTTGCATGAACGGCATCACCTCGGACCCGTCCATCAGGTGAGGAATAGGGGCTTGGGCCAAAGGCCATCTTTTCCAGAGGAAGGCGGGTTCGGGACAATGCCGAGCACGAGCACGCTTGCGAGGGGAGCACGTCGCTCACCCACCTTTTGAACATTTCACGCACGAAGGCCTTTTAGTGGATCAAAAAAAGATGCACTGCGCCCTCTAGCGCCGAGGGTATTATTGACATTATTATTAGTATTCTCATCACTATCATTTTTGTTCTTGTGTTGTCTTATATGTTTATGATCATTGTGTCCCCCTGTTGGTTTCAGCGGGAATCTAACACTACTTGAATGATTTACTTTTTGTCTGGGGGACTTAAGCAATATTGATGGTGCGCAGCAAGGAATGGCCCCGGGTGTTGGGAATGAGCCTAGAGGGTTTCCTGTTAAAGGAAACCATAGGCCATGGTTTGTAGGGGTCATTCCGTCATTCCCTCACTTCCTGAGTTCCTGGACTTTACACTTTTTGCGAAGACCATTTTCGTGGCAAACTTAAAGAGGCTGATACTGATACTCTGTCTTGCCAATCCACTCGATCGGAAGTGAGTATTCCCTGCTGAGCAAGACGTGGTCATGCCCTGGTTTTGGGACCTGAAAGAAGTGGCTTCCATTTGCTTAAGTTGGTTTTAATTTCCCCCTGGTTTTAAAGGGAATCTATCACTACTCTTCCCCGGAATTAGCTTCCCTTTGTTATGTGTTCCTTTTTTTGGGGGCCCCCTGTGTGTTCCACTCACTCGGCAATTTTGTTTCGTGTTTTTTTGCTGGGGTCCTACTTCCGGCCAAGAAATCTGTTGTTTTTTTGGTCTAGGGGACCAACCCCAGGAGGCCGCGCCATGCACCGTAGCGGCGGCATCTGGGTGCTGGACGCTTGGCAGAGTCACCGCTTTTTTGGGCCCGGCTCGTCATCGCGTTGGGGAAATGGCCACTCTTGGTTGATTGGCTGGCTGGCTGGTTTCTTGGAGTATGTGTTTAGGTGGTGTTTAGTGTTGGGTGGATAATGGGTTTGTTTAGGGGTGCTTTCGCTCCAGAAAGGCTGATTTTGGTGGTTTATTTTGAATACCTGGGTTCCCCCAGTAGCAGTTTTGTTGTTGATCCCTTTGTTTTATATGACCCTGGTTTCCTCACCAACTGGAGCACCGGGCGGTTGTTTGGGGGGAAATGTGTCGCAGGTGAAGCTGACTGGGAGCCTGGTTCCCTGCACACGGCCAGTGATCTCCGCCATGGCCAGGCAGAGCCCTGGCTTAGCGAGCGGTGGTTGCGAGATCGGCGGGTTGGAATGACGGGCAAGAGCCTCGCACAGATTTTGCTGGACCGGATCCCTGACCTTGGCTTGTTGCCTTTTTGTTTTTTTTTCAGGGAGCCAACCCTATTCAAACAAAATGACATCCTCTCCTGAAGTTGGGGGACCCTGTGGTTGAAAGTCCGAAGTTGGCATTCGGGGGAATGGTGATCCATTTAGAAAAAAATCCGTGAAACCCAGCTGCTTGAGGAGAAACACAAGTCAATCCATCGCGTGTCAAACACCGAACCCAACCCAAATAGGACCCTCTTCGACCCTTCCAGAAGCGAAAGGAGTACCGTAAGTAGTGCAGGAGTGTGAAGGTGATGAAAGGGATGTCCCCTTGTTTCCCTTGTTGCAGGAACTTGATTGAAGTGTCATTGTCATTGAAAGGGTTTTCCAACTCAACTGGTCCTCTTGGGCTGGAAATGACACTCCCCAGCTGGTTGGCCCTGAATCTCACTCAAAAAGCCTGTCCCAGTTCTTAAAGACCGTCTTGGTGGCATGGGGAAGCTTTCGGTTCCCTTTGAGAGGGAACCCACTATGGTGCTGTCTCTTCTTGAGGTACTGTTGGTTGGCTTTAAAGGGAACCCGAAAGGATAACCGTTGCTAAATCCATTTTTTGGGAGACACCCAATATGGGGATGTTTCAACATTACATTGCCAAGCCATAAAGCTTTCAAGGCTGATGCCTAATCCAAACGACAGAGCGAAGAGTCCCCCCCACATTCCACTATTCCTCCCATCTGTTTTCAGGCAAGGGAGAAATCCTTACACAGTTTCCTTATTTTTCTCTCACAAGCTTCCTGAAGGCGCGCCGTGAGAAGCCCATATGGCCATGAAGTTTAATAGGGAGCCCTTTCCGAAGTGATCGGACAAAACTCCTCTTCAAATGATGTCCACCAAAGGGTCCCCCATGAGAATTCATACCCATAGTACACTTATTACACCCCGCCAATTTCAACCTTAGCCTTTAGGATTCAACCTCATTAAAAGAAAGGTTGACCCAACTTGATGACAATCCTTAGACAAACAATGGTGGTGATAGGAACCCAACCATTGTTTTAATGGTGGCAACCGAACCCCGGGGTCAGCTTCTTTTTCTCCGGACCCGGTGTCTGAGATCCGCCCCACTTCCCCGCCGCTCGAGCGAGGCTTCGGGTGCAACTCCCCGCCGGCCACGGGGGATGGAAGACCATGGCGCTCACCGGGCCCTTGCTCTGCGCAGCGCGGCGCAAACGACAAACGCTTCGCCGGCGCAAACGCTTCGCCGAGCAGTTCGGAAGGGTTCCAACAACGCGTTTTTTGAAAGGTGCTTGTTTTGGGTATCTGCTTTTTTTCTGATTGTTTCTTCGAATCTCCAAGCGGTCAAACACAGCTGTCCTTGGTGGTTTTGTTGGGGTGGTGGCCAAGTGATGTCTTTTCTGAAGCTGCTCAGAACCTTGGAAACAATGGCCAAACCGAATCCTTTGGGCGGACAATGGGTGAATGTGCTTTTTGTTCCTGGTTAAGAGGCTACTTGTAAAGTCTTCTGAGCGTCCAGAAAAACGTTGGGGACCGGGCGGAGGGCGGAGGGCCCCGCCCTTGGACGAAGCCTTTGTAAGCGAAATGAGTTTGGTGCATGTTTACTCAAGGTGCCAGCAGTCATTGGCAGACTCAACTCAGCCTTTTGTCCTGTTTGTCTTCCTTTGTTTTTCGTGTAAATTCAGCAAAGGTTACGTACGTTTTTGCAAGGGTCTAAGTCTCACCCAGTTTTTTCTTGTAGGTCCTTTCGGCAAGCGAGTTTCGTGTTATAAAATTTGAGTTCCATAAGCGGAATGCGACATGGGCCGAAGATTTGCCTAAGGTTGTCTAAGACAACCGGCCATCCTGCTGCTTGCAGAACAGATGTGATTCTATTGAGGGACCCGACCCCCCTTTTCAGGCATTGGAAATGGGTTGGTTTAGATTTGTGTGCCCTCAAGGTTCTTGAGATCCTACGTGCCAGCCTGAGCAAGCAATCAGAATGCCAACTTCATATTAGTTAACGGGGTCCCCCCCCCCAACTGTTTGTTATTATTATTATCATTATTTTCGGGCAAAGTACCGTAATAATACACGCTTGTATATACTTGTAGTTTTGCTTCTAGTACTTGTAGTACTGCTTCTAGTACTTGTAGTCTCGTAGTAGTACGTCGTAGTAGTACGTCGTAGTAGTACGTCGTAGTAGTAGTAGTAGTAGTAGTAGTAGTAGTAGTAGTAGTAGTAGTGGTAGTGGTAGTGGTAGTAGTAGTAGTAGTTGTAGTATTTGTAGAGTACTACTAGTACTACAGCACTAAGTACTGCTTAGCGCGCTTGCAGTGGAGACCTGCTTCTGGGACTTGTAGTGCTTGTAGTAGTACTTGTAGTACGTGTAGTACTTCTCCCCTCTCAACCAATACCTAGTTCTTCCTAGGGGTCGCTTTGGGGTGTTTATTAATGTGAGCCCTTTTACTAATGCCGGTGTGGGGAGCTTGTGCGGGGTACCTCACGCTGGACTGTTGGGGCATCACTTTTGTAGAGATTTCATTTAAAAGCCGCACTTCCCCGTGCATATGTTTTTTTGGAGATCTGAGGTGTGCTGGGGAGGCTCTGAAGGTTCCAGTTGTATAATTACCTTGCCTGGTGCGCTGCACACTTGTTGCATGTGTCTCTGTGCCATCAACTTCTGGACGCTACTCGCTTACTTTTGAATCATTTTGGACTGGTTTGGTCCCTGTAACAAAAACAAGTTGTTTGGCTTGCCCCCCCCCCCCCCTCGGCTTGTTATTAATTTGAGTTGTTTGGGTGGTTTATTAATGTTGTGCTTTGGAGGGTCGACTTGGGGAGGCGGTGTTGTATGTTTGCGATTAGCTTTTGAATTAGTCCTTTCTTAATCTAGTATTGGGTGAAAAATCGGGTCCGGTGGCGCATAATTTTTAGTAATACGGGCCCAATCATAAAACTTAGGTTGCCATTAGGGGATGGACATCAATCATACCTGGTGCAGTTTCATCTAGGCTCCTTATCCAGAGCTGGCTAAGTGATATGTTTGCCCCAAAGGTTGTTACCCAAGGACTACCAAAGAAACCGCAACACGCATCCATTTCAGGTTTGAACCGGGCAAGGCCATTTTGTTTCTGTTCCACGCGAGTTCGGTGAGTAAAGATCCGGTTTGCGGATTGCACAAATTGCCCAGATGTGTTCTGGCGAAGACGCGGTTTCCAATGCTCCCATTGTTTTGGGTGGTTCTCGCCAATATGTCCTCCGTGTCGCAAAATGTCCATTTGGTGGTTCCCAATATGTGCCTCCTTTGGGTGGTTTGGCTTGGGATCGATCAGCTTTGAAAAAACCAAAAAGCATGGCCAGATCCTTCATAGGATCAAGGCCGTGGCTCGGGATTCCGTGGACCACCAGGGATACGAGGAAAATGTCCGCAGGTTCTTCAAGAACTGAATCCGGGTGAGTAGCTGGGCCGATGGTGAGGAACTGGCATGTGTGTTCGCTTCACTGGTTTCAGGCAGCCGACAGAATCGGTGGTTTGGATTGGTGGTTTGAGAAAATGTGAACCTCTGGCGGTTGTAGAGGGTAAATGGGAAACCACCGCAACCCGACAGATTGGTGGTTTGGATTGGTGGTTTAAGAAAATGTGAACCTCTGGCGTTTGTAGAGCGTAAATGAAAAACCACCGCAACCCGACAGATTGGTGGTTTGGATTGGTGGTTTGAGAAAATTTGAACCTCCGGATTTTGTAGAGGGTAAATGGGAAACCACCGCAACCCGACAGATTGGTGGTTTGCATTTGTGGTTTGAGAAAATGTGAACCTCTGGCGGTTGTAGACGGTAAATGGGAAACCACCGCAACCCGACAGATTGGTGGTTTGGATTGGTGGTTTGAGAAAATGTGAACCTCTGGCGTTTGTAGAGCGTAAATGAAAAACCACCGCAACCCGACAGATTGGTGGTTTGGATTGGTGGTTTGAGAAAATTTGAACCTCCGGATTTTGTAGAGGGTAAATGGGAAACCACCGCAACCCGACAGATTGGTGGTTTGCATTTGTGGTTTGAGAAATTTGAATCCCCGGCGTTTGTAGAGGATAAATGGGAAACCACCGCAACCCGACAGATTGGTGGTTTGGATTGGTGGTAAAATTTGAACCCCGGGCGTTTGAGGGTAAATCGTGTTTACCACCCCTTTTGCAGAGGGTAGATGGGAAACCACCGCAACCGGACTGATTGGTGGTTTGATTGGTGGTTTGAGAAAATTTGAACCCCCGGCGGTTGTAGAGGGTAAATGGGAAACCACCGCAACCTGACAGATTGGTGGTTTGGATTGGTGGTTTGAGAAAATGTGAACCTCTGGCGTTTGTAGAGCGTAAATGAAAAACCACCGCAACCCGACAGATTGGTGGTTTGGATTGGTGGTTTGAGACAATTTGAACCCCGGCGTTTGTAGAGGGTGAATGGGAAACCACCGCAACCCGACAGATTGGTGGTTTGGATTTGTGGTTTGAGAAAGTTTGAACCTCCGGATTTTGTAGAGGGTAAATGGGAAACCACCGCAACCCGACAGATTGGTGGTTTGCATTTGTGGTTTGAGAAATTTGAATCCCCGGCGTTTGTAGAGGGTAAGTGGGAAACCACCGCAACCCGACAGATTGGTGGTTTGGATTGGTGGTAGAATTTGAACCCCGGGCGTTTGAGGGTAAATCGTGTTTACCACCCCTTTTGCAGAGGGTAGATGGGAAACCACCGCAACCCGACTGATTGGTGGTTTGATTGGTGGTTTGAGAAAATTTGAACCCCCGGCGGTTGTAGAGGGTAAATGGGAAACCACCGCAACCCGACAGATTGGTGGTTTGGATTGGTGGTTTGAGAAAGTTTGAACCTCCGGCGTTTGTAGAGGGTAAGTGGGAAACCACCGCAACCCGACAGATTGGTGGTTTGGATTGGTGGTTTGAGAAAATTTGAACCTTTGGCTTTTGTAGAGGGTAAATGGGAAACCACCGCAACCCGACAGATTGGTGGTTTGGATTGGTGGTTTGAGAAAATTTGAACCTTTGGCTTTTGTAGAGGGTAAATGGGAAGCCACCGCAACCCGACAGATTGGTGGTTTGGATTGGTGGTAGAATTTGAACCCCGGGCGTTTGAGGGTAAATCGTGTTTACCACCCCTTTTGCAGAGGGTAGATGGGAAACCACCGCAACCCGACAGATTGGTGGTTGGGATTGGTTTGAGATGATTTGAACCCCCGGCTTTTGAGGGTAAATGGGGTTTAGCACCCCTGAACCACCCAACTTGGGGTCAGCGACTGGGATTCTCAGTTGGTTCGGATTTAGGATTTCAACCCCCGGCGTTTGTAGAGGGTAAATGGGGTTTACCAGGTTTACCACACCTTTTGTAGAGGCTAAATTGGAAACCACCCCTGAACCACCAAACTCGGTTGCGAGGAATCTCAGCGAGTCGATGGCTCAGGCGATCGCGGCGCTGGCGTGGCCTCTGTCCGACTACGTGGAGTCCTTCGAGAGCCGCTCGAACGCCGAAGCGGTGAGGGTGTCTGGTCTGAGAGGTTGGACAAGAATCGACCCGGGCGCTTTTTGAAATCTATCGTTGGCTTGGTTTCCTTCAGTTTCCATTTAAGATGTACTTCCATGTCCTGTACTTTGGTTTGTTTTTCATTACGTTCCCTCCTCAGACACAAACCCTCCAGCATTCCGCCTGAGGCGCTGTCGGCTCCGCTGGGGTCTCAGCGAGCGGAGTTCTGAAGGGCGGATGGGCCTCCAGATCTGCCGGGTCTCTGAAGATCGCATGAGTCACTATCAAAACCTGAACAATTGGAGGGTAAGGGACAATCCCAGAGATGGGTGCATCCGCCTTGGTGACTCTTTACAGGGCTCTGGGTGGACCATTTTGATACCGGGTTTTAGTTGTGACTCACATTGGTCCATGGGCACAGACCAACCACTACAAACTCGTGAAGGAAGGACGTCCCTTGCAAACCTTGGCCTATGCAGAAGGGAGTCTCCTTGCGTTTTGTTTAGGGGGCTGCCCGTTTTAAGCAAGCCGTGAAAGGGGCACCTGTGCGCACGGACAGTGTCGCAAGTTGTCCTTCGGGTCAGTAGCTGGGTGCGGAGCTGGGTGCGGAGCTGGGTGCGTTTCTTTTTGTTTGAAGAACCCCGTGTTTGCGGGTTTTGAAGGGGAACTCAACTTAAATTCACCTTGTTGTTGTTGTTGTTGTTGTTGTTGTTGTTGTTGTTGTTGTTGTTGTTGTTGTTGTTGTTGTTGTTGTTGTTGTTGTTGTTGTTGTTGTTGTTGTTGTTGTTGTTGTTGTTGTTGTTGTTGTTTTTTTTTTTTTTTTGGGGGGGGGGGGGAAATGTAGAAAGGGGGATTGTAGGGCAGGGAATTTTCAAGTCAGGGCTTCAGGGTTCAGGGATGAAATTAAACAAGCAAACCAATTTGTTCAAAACACCAAGGGGGATTGTGGGGAATCTTTCTAAAATTTCTGAACAATTTTTTACAGTTTTTTCATTTAAGAACAGTCTAACATTTCATCATTTTCAAGGTTCAGGTTTCAGACCATTTTATGGCTTTCTGGGGGATAGAGGACATGTTTAAGTGTAGGTGTTGATAAAGGTTGTATCCCCCAACCAGTACTGCTTGTATGGACATTTCAGTTTTCAATACTACCTGTATTTCAATTTCCATTACTGCCAGTATCCAGTATTCAATATTCAATACTGCCAGTATTCATTATTCAATATTCAATACTGCCAGTATTCAGTATTCAATATTCAATACTGCCAGTATTCAGTATTCAATATTCAATACTGCCAGTATTCAATTCCAATACTGCCAATACTGCCAGTATTCAGTTTTCAATACTGCCAGTATTCAGTATCCAATACTGTCATTGTCCAATATCCAATATGGTTTGAGCACATCACCAACAAACCCACATTTCAACGTTGAACCCAACCCCACAAAATCCAAAGCTTTCCTGTATATTACTTATTGTTATTGACTTCATCCAAAACAATAACTAATTGATTTGCCTATCCTTTGAAATGGATTTGTGTTTGTGAATTTTCACATATCCTTTTTTGACCTGCGCCCCGCAAACTGGACATTCTACAAGAGTTTGTTGTCGCGCTATGATTTGTTCTTTGTTTGCCTCATAATAGTCTTTCCAGCGTTGTTTGTTTCGTTCATAGTCTGCCTTTTTCTGTTCCAATATCTTTTCTCTGTTGTCCTGTTTGTATTCTTTACCTGTTCTCCCTGCTATGATTTTATTTACACAATCAGAGTTCCTTATGTGATGCCCTTCTCGCTTTCTCAACTCTTCTTTGGTCTGGCACGGGCAGGTCTCAACCAGTTCTATTTTACAATTATCTACACCGAATTCATCAAATAAATTGAAGGATGTTGTAAATTTGCTTTTGCCTTTGATGTAAGCATTGTATTTTTCACGATGCCTTGCCATTCTCTGACTTAAAGTTTCACAGGTGCTTCCAACATAGCATTTTGTATAAGCAACATCTACAATCTTGTATATTTTACCCTCATTATATCTATTCATATCCTTATTAATCTAAATAAGTTTCTTTTTAAACATAAATCATCGTGATTGTTTATGTTTTACGCATACCCAACAAAATTGCACCCAGCAAAGCAACCCCCACCCAAATATACTTAAAGAAATATTACCTTATATAGTTTAGAGAAATGGCAGGGGATTACAGCACAGGTTCAGTAATTGAATATCTAATATCCAATAATGAAGGTCAAATAAAAACAGGGAAGAATAACAAACCATTGAAAAAACTAATCATCAACAACAAAGAATACTATTACAACAAAGACAAACCATTATCCTCATCACTTCAAAACAAACTCAATCAAGTCAGCAACACACAAGGTTTCAAACGATTTAATCTTCTAAAAAAAGCATCAAACACAATGAGAGGCATTAAAACGATCCAAAAATACAGATTAAAAATAGGAGCAAAAACATCAGAGACATTTTCAGCATTGAAACGATACGCCAACACATATTCAATAACCAACATACCATTCAAGGGATACAAAGGATTTACATATTTGAAATGGCAAGAAAAGAGACTATCAGAATATCTTGAAAAGGAAAAATCAATGAAAATTATTATTGATGTTGATGTCCTTTTTGACCACCACGAAACAGAGACACCCACAAAATTTACAATGAGAAGCAGGAGATACAACATTCTAAACATTGCTGATTTGAAAAAGGCACTGGATAATATGCCGAAAGACATTGAATTACAGATTGAAAATTCAGAACTAACAAGGTCGGGTTTTATAATAAACAAAGTCCATAAAATAAACATCCACTACGATAAATACAATCCAAACAGAGCAGGCAAATATATGGAACTACCAGAATGGATTTCAAAGAAAAAAGCGTGTATCAACATTCAAAATGAAGATGAGTTATGTTTCAAATACTGTGTTTTATGTAAATTTTATGAAGTCTTCAAGAAAGACCATCCACAACATATGAGACACTACAAGAAATTAATGACTACTGAAAGTCTCATTAAATGGGATGGTGTGAATTTTCCAGCATCAAATGATGACATAGACCATTTTGAAACAATTAACCAAAATTCTATATCAGTTAATATTTATGTTGAAGATGAGAACCAAACCATCAGGGCAGACAGAATAACGAAGATTGAAAGACCGTCTTGTCATATCAATCTATTACGAATTGAACAAAACAACAACGATGCTTCACCAGAGGCTCACAAGCTTTGCGAACACTATGTTTTAATAAAAGATTATAATAGATTAATGGGTAGTCAAACCAACAACCACAACGAAAAGTTGTTTCATTGTAGATATTGTCAGCACGGTTATAAGTCAGAAAAACTTTTAAATTCTCACTTAATAAAAGGTTGTATGGCAAATGAAATTCAACACACTGAATTACCAGAAGAAGGGACAACAATGAAATTTGAAAAGCATTTTAAGAAACTGAAAGCGCCCTTTGTTATTTACGGTGATTTTGAATGTTTAACAACAGAAACATCAGAAGGCATCAAAGGGACTTATCAGAACCATAAACCCAGCGGTTATATGCTTAACCTTGTTAATGCTTATAGTGGAGAAATGAAACCATTTTTATACAGAGGTGAAGATTGTATGGATAAATTTTGTGATACATTAAACAATATTAGAGACGATGTAATGAAACAAATGAAAAATCCAAAAGATATGATTATGTCAGATTTAGATGAAATTAAACATTTAGAAGCTAAAAAGTGTTTCTTATGCAATGGTGCTTTCAACAACAAGGTTGAAGCGAAAAAGAAGGTCGCCGACCATTGCCACTTTACAGGATTATACAGAGGAGCGGCACATATGAAATGTAATATTGATTTTTGTTTCAAGAAATATCATATACCAGTATTCTTTCACAATCTTAAAAACTATGATGCTCACCTAATAATTTCTAATCTTGAAAAGTTAAATACAAAGAAAGAAAGCATATCAGTAATAGCACAGAACAGTGAGAAGTTTATTACATTTTCATTAAACAGACTTGAATTTAAGGATAGTTTCAGTTTCTTGTCATCATCATTAGAAAAACTGGTTAAATTAGCAAAATATGAAGATAATAAATTAAGGGACAACTGGCAGGAACATTTTAAATATAGTTTCAAAGGCAAATACATTAAAAACGAAAAAGATTTGTTTTTACTGACAGAAAAGGGAGTTTATCCTTATGACTATTGTAATGACTTTAATAAATTTAATGACACTGAACTACCAGAAAAGAAACATTTTTACAGTAGATTGAGTGAAGAAGACATCAGCGATGCTGACTATGAAAGAGCAAAACTAATATGGAAGCACTTTAACATTAAAAACCTTGGTGAATATCACGATTTATATTTAGAAACAGATGTATTATTATTAACCGATGTATATGAAAATTTCAGAAAACAATGTCTAACAGATTATGAGTTAGACCCTGCCCATTACTATACATTACCTAACTTTGCTTGGGACGCGATGTTATTAAAAACAGGAATTGAACTTGAACTTTTACACGATGAAGAACTTTATAATATGGTTGAGAAGGGGTTGAGAGGTGGAATGTGTCAGGTTTCAATGAGAAAAGCAACTGCTAATAATAAGTATATGGGTGATGATTATGATGAAACAAAGCCGTCATCCTACATCAATTATTTAGATGCTAATAATCTTTATGGACTGGCAATGTGTAAGAAACTACCATATAAGAAAATAAGATTTGTAAAAGATAATTTCACAGAAGACGACATTAAATATCATAACAGTGATTATAGCAACAAAGGATATATTTTAGATGTTGATTTAGAATATCCGAAAGAATGCCACGACAAACATACTGATTATCCATTAGCACCAGAAATTATGAGTGTATCAGCAGATATGCTTAGTGATTATCAGAAAGAAACCTACAAAGCATATCATTTTAACAATGCTCCAAAAGATGAGAAAACAAACAAGTTAATACTAAATGTTATGGACAAACAAAATTATGTTTTACATATTGACATTTTAAAATTCTATTTGAAACAAGGACTTAAAATCAAGAAAATAAACAGAGTAATAGAGTTTAGACACAAGCAATGGTTGAAACCGTGGATTGACTTTAACACAGAGAAGCGAAAGAACGCTACAAGCGACTTTGAGAAAGATATGTACAAGTTA